ATTCAGTCAGTTTCACTTACAGAATAATTACCTAAAAGATGCTGAAGCTTATTTTAGAAAACTTAATGTATCGATAGTGAGAAATAATTTATTTTATGAGATATATTGTTTAACGCATGCAGACGTTGTAATATATTGTAAATTCATTGTGTAAAATAGAAATTTATTGAGATAATAATTTGCAAAAGGACCGGAAGACACAAAGTAAGAAATCAATTTTTGATAAAAATTGGAAAAGTAAAAACATTTAAAAAGTTTCATATCACTGGTTTCTAATGCGACCCACTATCCGCTACATTATATACGCAAGACTGACCTCGAGCTTTTGTTCAATATTGATTCATTGTTACTTGATTTGATAGATAAATAAATCAGTAAGCTGTACTTCCTCGTCTGTTTCCGCTATTCTATTGCGTGAAACATAAAATATATAGTAATATTCGGTCCTTTCACAATGAAAACATCACAGTAATTACAAAGATCCAGAGTGAATGACAAAAAAATCACTCAATGTAGACAAAAATAAACTGCAAAAGAGATGCATACTATCAGTTCTGTAGAAGCAAACATAATAAAAGTGATATTTCCTCGCTTAACCAAGGCCATGGTCCTCAAAGAATCCTTGCGGCGTTTCTTCCTAAAACTGAGATAATAAACTGAAAAGATAAGTGGATACCGAAAATGAGATTAATCATGCATCACCAAGACTGTCAAGGCCCTTGACTAATCACATTAATTATCAACCACCAAAATGTGTTTGCTTAAAGTTGATAACTTGCCAAAGCATAATAAAATAATGACAATCACCACACTAGTGCTATTGTTTGAGATACCCGGAACTGATCATTCGCCTGCTTTTCACAGAAACAGGAAGAGCTGCTACTAATTTGCCGCAAAAAAATATAATGCAAACCTCCTGAATGAGATCTTGAGCCGCGATTGCCTTCAAAACCTGCTTTTTACTTGTTTCCTGTATTTCGCCCGCCAACAAAAATTCATCCAATATAAAATATGCCTTCTCAAAATTGAAAATAATATCTAATTCGCAAACCTGTAAAACTTAATTTAATATTACAAAAATTTTTAATGTGAAACTCTAATAGTATGTTTTTACGGAACACAAAAATACAGGATACAGAATCCCACAATCTTACAACTTGCAGAACAGTTCAAGTATTACGTGAACCATGTAATTCTGTTTCTTTTTCCTATTTGTAGCAGAGCTTAGCGTTTAAATGACAAACTTTTATAAAGCCAATAATGCATTTTGGAAAAAATACAGAGTAAAAGAAATAGATAAAGATGACAAGAACTTACACTGCCAAAATACTTATCCAACAGTTCAACAAATCGATGTATAATTTCTAGGCATAACAATTCATTGTCTGTTTGTTCAATTGCACAACAAAAATATAACGATGCGTACCTGAACAAGATTGAGAATTCCGGATGTCAAAATAACCTCGAAACCAAAAAATATTTTCAAAAAAGCAATAAAATTAATAGAAAATGAATCCACAACTTTATTCTCGACGTTGTAGTAAGAAAGTGACAGCGCCATTACAAAACAGTGAAAGAGAGAATGAATCATTGTAAAAGATAAACATCATTAAAACTGTATTCTAACTTAGTGAATTATTTCTACAAAAATACAGTAAAGCTGATTTACAGCAATTAATATTTACATTCTAACCTTTTGTAAACGATTTTAAGATCCTTGTATTCTAGAAAAGCACACATTTTTGGCTTCCGAGCCAAAATTGTCGTAACCAATTCCCGAGTGATTTTTTTCTTCATCTATAAGTAACCAGCATTATAAATCGTTCAATTCAACAAATCATATTTCTGAACTTTTTTTCGCCGTCACTGAATAGTTTGCTTATTCTTAGGCTTAATTATTTCCGTAATCCTCTCTATTTCATTAAAAAATACTATTGATACATTCGATCTATTTACTTGTTTGTTTCCATATCATTAATGGGTAAAATTTCTAAGTTTATTTTGAACTTTAGACCAGAAGACACAATGAACTGAATATCCGAACAGCTGTGGTATCAGATGAAGCAATAAAACGCTTTCCTTTTTTATTGCGATAATTGTCTACCAACAAAAGAACTAAAAACTACACACCTGATATATCACCTTATCATATACACTGATCTCATGCACTCACTGCAACCAGTATAACAAATTGCAAATTATTCGTAATTGCTTGTCATATATTGATATAAACTCATACTACCATTTTAAAACTTACCATTAATCTCAGCAAATGCTATCAAAGCTTATCATGCACTATTAATTATTCACATAACAAAGATCCGATCGTGCCCCACCAGTCTTACCCAATATCAGGATTATATAGCACATATTAGTCTTATTGCATATTATCTACTTATAAACTACTCCCATCATTAATGAATCATATAATCACCAACCTCACCAGATGATATCACTTACCTTATCTTGATATGCCACGTACCATTTTTGTAATCGTAGCTTTCCCTGCCTACTAAACAATAACATAAATTGCATCATTTCACTAGCACTTTCAACCTGAAAATAAAGTAAGATATGCAAAATACTAACAGATGAATAATTTGGACACAAATTATTTAACGATTTAACAAATTATTTAACGATTTATTTTTCAATGAAACCACGTGCAACTATTTCTGCACATTTAGTTATAGCAACAAATAAAATAATCTGATCTACCATGATAACCTGATGACTTCGGCACTGTAAGTTCCTCAGCATGACTAATCATTAAAATATCAAAACAGAGAGTGTCCTTTAAAAAGTACGATTTAAACACACTCCTATCCTCTCTCTACAATCTACAAAATCTCTGAATACGTCCATCAATGGAAAACAATCAATATAACAACACCCCGCACAACCCCGCCCGTTTCACTCCACCGCGACTTCATCCCCGCTCCATCTTCAACCGCGGAATGTATGCATATAAACGTCATGCTATTGTGCTTCATGCTGTAATTTAGATTTCTGAAACGAGAAATCGTCAATGATACAACTGAGATCAATACTGTCTTCACCCCAGACATTCTTAAGCGTCTCATTTGCTGTTGACAGTTTTGAATTGTCTGCTCCCGCGGTTCTCTGAGGTGTTAGCATTGCGGGGGTGGCTTATTTGATATGCTTTCTTTTAGTACCACAAAGTTTTCTGATTATTGTCTTTTTTGCTGAAAAATTTTCAGTCTTTTTTGCTCCGTTAAAAACAAAAATGTCAAGCATATAGAGTGAAGAGTTGGCATTTGTGAGTGAAAATTAACAAAATTAATAGGAAAAAAAAGAATAACTTTAGATTCGCTCATACATCGTATACAAATACTTTCAATCATTTTCTCTAAATGTTCTACGATATTCTATTCTTCTACATAATCTTTTATTTATCAAATTTAGAGATGTGAATTCTTCATATATTGCTCGCTCAACATTATTTAGCAAGTTTATCCACTATTGGTTTACTAAAGTGAAATTTTAATTAGAGTTAAAAATTTAGTATGATAAAATGAATTAATTGCTAATGAATTTATAATTGAAAATCTGTTAGACAAGTATTTATGCACTTGAAGGAATTGTGGAGAAGGGATGAATCTTTTTCTAGGCGTAGTGTAAGTTCATGTTGATAATCTTAACTACGTTGACATGTTTGATTTAGTTAACTTAGTTTGTCATTAAATGAGATCTGTTCTTTTCTCTTATTTTACT